CCACTTTGTCACCATTGGGGATTTCATGCCAGTAATGTGTTGGATGGAAACTTCTATTTTCATTGTCTTTGGGGAGCATGAAGTTTTTCACTTGCTGTGGCCCATGCAGTACAAGGAAGTCCCTTAGGCTACTGCTCAAGTGTGTCCACAGTCCTGGATCATCCAGGCTTAAGGAACTAAACTCTGCTTCAGCTGTTCCTTGAGCCTCCACCGCACTCTTCTCTAATCTACACTTTTCTTCAGGAATGTGCATGGTTACATCCATTTGAGATGGAGATATGGATGCTGCAGTAGCTGCCAGGTCACCTGCACTCTGACTAACTGGGCATCTCCTCACCACTCACATCCTCACTGGAAGGTTCACTGTGAACATTTGTGTCTATGTATCTCAGGAGAGCTCCTTCCTGCTTAGATAGAAAAGCTTCCTTTGCTTGCTTTCTTTTTCTGAATGCTGCCCCAGAGGGGCGTTTTCTTCTTTCACTCATGACTGCTGTTCTGTGCCAGCTATAGTGGCTCTCAACACTCAGTTGAAGGGGACAAATAAGCAGGCTGATAGCAGGGCCTGAGTGAGGGAAGATATCAGCGTCTTAAGGGCCTAACTGGCTCCTACTACTTCAGTTGACTGCCTGTTCTCCTCAAGTGGGTTCAGGGAAGCAGCAGGAAACAGGAAGCTCCCTGAGAAGCTGGTGTTAATCAGTCCGGGCTCCTGGGCATGCTAGAGAAGTACATAAGAGGCTCCTCCTCCTCTCTCTCCCTGCAGCTCCTGCTGCTCTCTGTTATTCCCTCTCACCTTTTCTCCTGCCTGCCTGTTATGTCTCTTGTTCCCTCCTTCCTCCAGCACAGCACTCCACCATCTCTGTGCATCTAGAGCAGAGAGAATACATATGCACCAGCAGCAGATACAATTTTCTACACTCTGGGTCCTAGTGGCGCCCCCCCCCCACACACACACATACACACACAGTCTGGCACCTGAGGCGGCCACCTCAGTTCACCTCATGGTAAGGCCAGCCCTGACATTAGGATCAGTCCCATCAATAAAGATCCTCCCATTAAGATAGGCAAATAACTTTAACGAATTTTAAGATTCAAAGGAAGTTTGATGCTTTTGTGTAGTCACTTGGATTTATGGGCTTGATCCAAACCATTCCTGCCACTTAACAGCAGGTGCAGCTTCAAGATTACTGTTCATGGGAAAGGAGCATCGATAACTTCTGCAGACTACCCACTGGAAAAGTATAAATGGAGTTTATGGATTTACCAGGAATAAAATTAGAAACTGGATTTAACTTCTATTTAAAAACGTGTGTATATTGTGTTATTCAGCGACAGGAGAGCTGAATGGTACAGGGCCTAGCATCAGAACAAGAGAGGTTTCAGGTGAAAAAAGCATATAAATTGTGTCATCCAAATCTTAACCACGGGTAAAAATTCCACATTTTTCCGAAGGAGTAAAGTTTAAAGAGGGAAAAAGAAGGACTGGATTCTGAAATTGTGTGTGTGTGTGTGTGTGTGTGTGTGTGTGAGAGAGAGAGAGAGAGAGAGAGAGAGAGAGAGAGAGAGAGAGTTGATAGTGCCTGGAACTACTGAATAAAAGGCATTTTCAGTATGAAATGGTTGTCATAAAATTCACTTTGGATAAGAGCCTCCAGCTACCAGCAGAGGGCGTTGCACTAAATTGATTTTATTTTAAACTGTAGCCAATAATACATGGGGGGGGGGAGAGAGAGAGAGAGAGATTTGTTATTATTAACGTGCATTCTGGCTTCAAAATACAGGGAAAGGATGCAAGCTTATTAGATAGATAGATAGATAGATAGATAGATAGATAGATAGATAGATAGATCAAATATTAAATAAAATGGGAGTTAAAATAGAATATTTGTTGAAATAATGTAGTATTGCCTTACTTTTTGACAAAGTAACAATAGATTAGGTTGATTGGGGGAAGAGTTATTAACTTGGGTAAATAGACAATATTACTTATTTTGTATTTTTATACACACTACATTTAAAAGATAGCATAAAAGAACCATTGTTACTTGACTGTGAAAGGCTAAAACTATTGAGATTTGACAGTGCATTTTGACTTGTTTCATTTATTATTTTGTAAAAATGTTCAACAGAAAGAGACCTGTCTGTCCTAAAATAGCTATCCGTGTGATTGCTAGAAGTGAAGAGCGTTAGCTATTTGTTACTCTTAGTTGTAGACGGTAGACGGTAAGAATCACAGTTATCGTTGAAGTTGTAGACGGTAAGACTCACAAGAACTAATAACCTTTTAAACTCTATAGTCAAGAGTTGTTGTGTTAAGCCAAATCCCAACAGAGGGCGCTGCTACCCCGTTCAATGATGGATTTCAAAGGGATTTTAAAGCTTCGTATTAAAATATGTAGGATTTTTCAGATGTGGTCAGTTTGGAACAATTTGCTTAGATTTTAATCGTAATAACGGTGAGATTTAGCTATGGACATTTTGATTCCATGTTGATAACCTACTTTTAAAATATGTATTCACTCTTTCAAATATGGCCCTGAAAAATAAAACATAACAAATATTATATTGAAATTACATCATTTGATCAGTTCCAACCATTCTGAGTCGTTTGACATGAAAATATTTGTTTGCATTAATTTCAAAATGTATATTAAAATAGTTTTTAAAACACTAATGATAAACATTTTAAAATGTAAGCTACATATTTATATTGATCAATTATTATTATACGTCTAACGTCTTTAATATGAAGCTTATTATACATTTTAGCTAAAATAATATAATATAATATATTAATATAATATAATATAAAATAATATAATTATATTTTAAATGACCACATTAAGCAGAAATAAACTCCATAGGGGGAAAAATATCCTTGATAAATCAAATCGTTTTCCAAATGTTCATCAGACACATGGCCCTATTGCGTTGTGTTAATGAGAGTTCTAATAAATATGTGACTTGTGAATCAGAATTCACAGCCTAAAACATTTTGCTAGTGGAGCAGCATTGGTCGATACATCGATTTGATCTTTTTTTGTATGATTACTTTGTTTTCTGATACGTGGCACTTACATAATCTCCCGTACTACTCAATTGTAACTCGTAATAACGCACAAATTGATCATAAAACGGAGTCACTTTGCAGCACCAGCCTTTTAGAAGATGAGCCAGAGACTTCAGCAAAACTGGTAGTAAAGTGTCCCTTTATCTGATATTTGTTTGAATCGGAATTATTGCTCATTACAGGCAGAACCGTATCTCTTGTGATTGTGAGTGTAACATAAAGTATAAGCCTACATGCAAACAACACATATACGTTTCGCTTTTCAATATCCTATTTGTACTACTGCTTGAGAGGGACGTCTCTCTCAAACCAACTAAAGTCCTATTTGATAGCCCCACGCAGCAATGGATAATAAGACAATCTTCGCCGAGAATCCCTCTTATCTGCTTTAATAACTTCCCACAGAAATTGCCCTGCTCCTCTTATAATAACTATCTGCTATTTGTTTCGTCCCCTTTGTGGGTTGAACTTCCAGTGGAGATGCATGCTTGGAAATGGGGTGTATGGAGGGGGAGGAGGGAGCTGGGAAGGGAGACAGAAGAAAGACGAATTTACACTTTCTAGTTTAATTTGCGGGGATGAAAAATCGGAGACTCTGCTTATTAAGTCTCCTCACTCCTAGATTTAAACCGATCCCGATTTCTAGGAGATTAAAAAGTCCCAAGGACTATATATATATATATTCCTCATAGGGGTCACATACAGATTGACAAAGATGTGCAGGAACATTACGGACGCCCTGAAGTTCCACAGATAGGACCCTGAAATTAGAAACACCTCCTTGTCTTACTCATTAGTTCACTGAAAAGCGCAGTTGTTTTCTTTCAAAGCGAGAGGTGGTCGGTCTCTCCTTGCCCTTAATAACTGCTCGTGTCTTGGCAATACTAAAAATGGACAATGCAAACGAATGTTTGCCTGGACACATCAAGGCTAGTTGTGTTCCAACGCCCCACATCAACAGAGAAATGTAAAAGCACAAATATAACTTCATGGTGTTAATGTCTTTTGAAAGTAGCTACTAGCTCTTAGAGAGGTGTTCGGGATATTGCTAAGATCTGTGCTGTGCCGAGAAAATGTCCCGAGTTATAAAATATCTTGCTCAAGCCATGAGTATAAGGATTCCAGATGGAAAGCTTTTACTTTAGATTCGCTCCTTCCGCTTTAATGTCCCTGTCTCTAACTCTCTGCTTTTGTGTTTTACTGCATAGGAGAGAGAATTTCTGGACATGTATATAAAAGCATAGTATGTGGAGGGAAACATAATATCTCATTGCAAATGATGAATCGTTTCGTATAGAGGCAAAATAGTCTGTATTTTAATATAAATAAGGATATACAAATATCCACTATTCTGTCTGCTGTGGATAAACACATACAACGGAGAGAATAATGGATATTAATAAGTGTATATATGTGTGTGTATACACACACACACACACACTTATATTCTATATTGTGATACACACAACGATAAACTTGTGTGTATCGTTGAGTATCACAATATATGAATATGTGTGTTCATGTAAGTGTATATATATATGTATATATGTATATATATATATATGTGTGTGTGTGTGTGTGTGTATGTATACATACACACAATGTGATCTATACATATGAATGCATCTATATTTGTAGGCATGTATTTGTATGTTTATGTGTACATATCCGACTATATCTGTATATATGTCTGTATATGTATAGTTGTGAGATTCTCTCTATATATATGATGTCTGTGTGTGCATATATATAACCAATAATGTTTTTACTATCCGATTGAGGTTTACTTCTGCAGCCTATTGTTTCAGACAACAGATATAAGTTGCGATGGAAGAGGAACGTCGGATTTGCTGTCTGTCCCCCATTTCCAATTATAGATGGATCATTACAGACAGAGAAGTACTGAGAATCCAGACATCTGCTCTTCACATGAATGCACTCACCTCCTAGAGAACAGCCTGCCATCATGCTCTGGAAACTGGTTGAAAATGTCAAGTATGAAGATATCTATGAGGTGAGTATATAATATGCATGTGTGTGAGAGAGTATATGTATACAGTATATAAATATACATCTACATGTTTATATGTACGTTTATACAATACATATATAGATAGGTACATACATATGGAAAGCTATATAGATAACACACATATACATTCAGGAAACCCAGAATAAATGTTCTTATGCTTATTTATTTGCTTTTCTTCTCTTCAGCAAGGCGAGTCCTTAACTTTTTTTAAAAGCTATTTGATGAGATTTAAAACATCAACGAAATGATCTGGGGGTTGGAATAAGGCAACTTAAACGCAAAAGTTTGATTTTTAGATCTCAAATTCAACATAATTCGATTAAACGAGGACAAATGTCAAGAAAAAAAGCTTAAGAAAGGAAACACAATCTTGTAATCCTATGTTTTGATACATTTCTGGGTTGTTGTTGTTTTTTCTTATTTTCAGCCCCAATCTTAGAGCAACCTGGGGTTGTTGTTTTTCTTGTTGTGCCTTCCTTATAAGATACATCTGTATGATTTTTTTTATAAATACACTGATATATATATATATCAGTGTATTTATAAAATAAATATATTTATATATATATACATCAGTATCTATACACACATAGACACATATATAGTCAGAGATAGCTACATAGATATAATCAGAGAACCGTGAAAGTTGTATGGATTATTCAGAAGGCTTTGATTTTTGAGGCTCAAAAGCAAAAATGTAAAACATTTGCTAATTTTCTACTGCTTCATGACCTGGATATTTTTTTTGTAAAGTATGCTCAGTCCATTTGGTTCTTTTAAGTTAATCAGCGACTGCATTTTCGCAGAGAGGAGAAAGACTTGTAAGGAAAAGGCGTCTGTATTGTCCCGTCTCGCTTTTTTTTTTTTTTTTTTTTTTTTAATTATTATTATTTTTATTTTTGGGGTACTTTGCAAATGTGAGCAGCACTTTTGCTAAGGAGATTTTTAAGAAGGGTCCCCCTTCAATTTCAGTACGGTGGAGTTTGTTGCCATAACAGAACTCGTTCCAAACGGCAGGATATGGTGCCGATTGATTGTTTTAGCAGTAAAGTCTGTATGGAGCGTGTTTGTCCAAAAGAAGGAACCCTGTTCCCTGCAGTCTATGGAGTGGATACCATATCATGGGCTAGCTGGTCAAAAGTCAGAGCCTTTAAGGACTTAATTCTGGAAGTGAGTTAATATTTAATCCAGAGATCTGAAGGAGAAAGAAAGAAAGAAAGAAAGAAAGAAAGAAAGAAAGAAAGAAAGA